TCGTCCTCCTTGCTCCTTCGCCTTGGTTCTCCTGCGCCTCTCTAGCGAGCACTTAGCCGGATCAGCCCCCGGGTTATGCGTAAACCGGCCTTCGCAAGGACCTCGGACCCTCCGTGCTCGGTGGGTACTCTGTGACCCCTTAGTAATTGCGATGGGGTATTTTGCCACCCCAACCCACCCTCGTAAGTTACGATGTCAAACATTGGGGTCTGGAGGGACCCCCAAGCGCCGGAGCAAACAACTCTCAACTTCACATCATCATCATCGTCTCCTTCTCGTCCTCCTTCTCCTTGGTTCTCCTGCACCTCACTGGCGAGCACTTCGCCGGGTGGACCCCGGGTTACGCGTAAACTGGGCTCCATGAGGACCGGGGACGCTCTGTGCTCCGTGGGTACTCTGTGAATAATCTCGAAGTAATCTCGATGGGGTATTTCGCCACCCCAACCCACACTCGTAAGTTACGATGGCAAACCTTGGGGTTTGGAGTGACCCAACATCAACTTCTCATCATTGTCATCTGCTCCTCCACCTTCTCCTTTGTTCTCCGTTGCCTTACAGAGGGCAGTGTTTGTGTTAAAACACAGGAAACAAAGAAGGAATTGGAAGATACAAAGAGTTACACAAAAACATGAAGAAGTTGTTGCTGGAAGCACAGGCAGCACTAAAAAAAAACCACATGGAAAATGGGAGGCAAAACAGGAAAGTGAAAATCTTAAGAAGGAACAGATGAAAGTGCAAGAGGAAGTTGCAGAGGAGAAAATTGAGGTGAAGGGATTCCAGAGAGAAATGACAGGTACTGAAGTGACCAAGAAGAACTGTAAAAATGCAATGAAAGAACTACAAAAGCAGAAAAAAGAAGCTAAAGAGCTCCTCAAACAGAAAGTAAAACTGGCCAAACAGTAGCTAAAGAAAAAGTTAAAGACGCTGAGGAGCAGCTAAACAAAACCTTCAAAGAGCTGAAGGCAAAAGAAAAAGAAAAGAAAGCCAAGGATAGGAGCGGATTCTGGAGCACTGCCGAGGAAAAATTGACCTAGCAGCACCAAGTTTAAGGAGAATGATGGATCCACAAAGGACGAACAATAGTTTCTTCTTCCTTATGTTGCGTGGGATTACTCCTCATCTCCTACCCTGTTGCTGGTCACATGCTCTATAATGTTGTACTGTGGACATTTATGTGCTTTCTGTGCAGAGGAGTTTTTTTTGTTTCCTGTTCTCATGCTGTCCTCCTAGCCCAGCAGGAGTAGAGGTCTATTTTTTTCCTTTTATACTTTCCCATTGTAGTGTACATTTCAGTGCTTTTTCTGTAATGCAACCGTTCTTCTCTCCTCCGTGAATCGCAACCTTATCGTGGTGGAGGGGTTTGTGTGTCCCAGGGATCCCAGGGGCTA